ACGGTTTCCGGAACAACAACTGATTTTGGACGACCTCCACGAAATTCTTCTTCGAGTGAACTACGACCTCGGGTGAGCTCACTGTACCATCGACAAACACTGGCCCTGGATGGAGCTTCATAATTAAAAATTGAACTAAGTTCATCCATGCATTGCTGTTGAGTTAGTCCACGTCGAAAGTTGTAGAAAATAATCGCGTGAAAATGCCCACGGATCAACTCCATAAATTGGCCGAAACAAAATCTTATAACTTAGTGTAAACAACACAAATCGCGCTCAAATTTTGCAACGGAACCTCAAAATAGTCAAACTTTACGATAGTGGTGTCAGTTGCTAGATTGCTACACTAGTGTTGCTAAATCTCAAAATATAAAAGGCAACCCTCGTATAAACAAAGACACTGTGGTGTGTCATGAAAAAAGGAGGGCTATTCGAGACTACCTGCAACCGATACCTCTTATTTCGCAGTCAGCGGCACTTTGAAGCAAAAAATAAAAAAGCAGCAGAGAAAGAGCAGAAAGAAAGAAAGAAATGGAGAATAGTGGAAATATGCGCTGAATCGTCGCTCTTCTTAGGTGAAGAATATCATGAATGTATACCTTATCGGCAACGTTATCACTGCGACAATAGCGATGATTCATGACTATTGAGCACTTGCTTATACTTGGGACAAAGAGGAAAATCCAGACTATGATTAACTTTCCACTACTCAGTGATGTAGGAACCAAATTAGTTGGGAGGTCAGTGAAAGAAGAACAGGATGCCTAGGGGAGGAATCGAAAACTAAGACTAAGACCGGACGTTATGCGATACTGTGATGACCGTTGGACCAGCACGATTACTCACTGGATCCCTCGGGACGTCAAACGAACACCAGGACGGCCGCTAGCGCGACGACCAGACCTCTTCACGGAAGCTCTGAACGCAAGGAATGAATGCTATGCCTCGTGTCCCTCGAGCGGAGCAGGAATGGACCACTACGGGTCCTGACAGAGACGAATGGAGACGTTACAGGGCGTCTTCT